AGTTTGGCACAAAACTTCTTTAGAGGGGGCCCTCATGAGGCCCAGGCCTGGGGTTTCTTCTATGCCTTCTCCACCCCCACCCTGTAGCTGAGGAAAATATTTACACTTATTTTTTCCAGTTTTTTTTTTTTTGAAAACGTTTTGCAAAGAGATCCCTTATGTTTGCTAGATCCTGTGTTGGGTGGGGCACCCAAAAGCTGCCAACTCGGAGAAGAGGCAGAAGAGGGACATTTTAACTGGCTCTGGCTTGGATCCTCTGCTGCCCTATATCACACAGTTTCTCAACTTATTTTTTTTTTTCATGATTATCTCCCTAAGGGGTCGTTTTACATACTTTCCCCCTTAATTTCCATCTCCTCCATGACATTTTTTTTTTTTTTTTTTTTTTAATATATGGCACTGGGGATTAAACCCAGGGCCTCACAAATAACAGACAAGGGCTTTAACATTGAGCTACGTCATCATCCCTTTTAAATTTTTATTAATTATTATTTTGTTACTAGAGATTGAACCACTGAGCTTTTTATTTTTATTTATCCCCAGCCCTTTTTATTTTTATTTTTTTATTTTGAGACAGGGACTCATTAAATGCTGAGGCTGGACTTGAACTCAAGATCCTTCTGCCTCAGCCTTCAGAGTTGCTGGAATTACAGCATACCCCACTGTGCCCAGCTCCTCCATGGATTTTTTAATTAAAAAAATTTTTTTAGTTGTTAATGAACTTTCTCTTATTTATATGTGGTGCTAAGAATTTAATTGAGTGACTCACATGCTAGGCAAGTGCTCCACCACTGTGCTACCACCCCAGCCCCATCCTCCATGAAATTTTAATGCAATGAATATACCATATGTCTGTTTGTGTACAGTGGGCTTTTTGCAGCACCGCAAACAATTGTGCTATCTAAGTCTCCCCTACTGCCAAGAATCAATTTGCACCCTCCTAGGGGCAATATTACCTCTGTCTGAGAATACAGACAGATGGAAGGACCCTTCCGCATTTGATGTCTATCATCTCCCTATCTTGGCAACCTAAAGGGGAGGTCTTGGGGTTTTTTTGTTTTGTTTTGTTTTTAGGATTTTTTTTAATTTAATTTTTTTTTAAGTTTTTAGTTGTTGATAGACCTTTCTTTTATTTATTTATATGTGGTGCTGAGGATTGAACCCAGTGACACTGTCCCTTCTTCCTAACAAATGTAAGTTGCTTGGCCAAGGGCCAGGTATACAGTAGGTGCTCACGTACATTATAATTTTATAAAGATCTTCTTAAGCCATAAGATTGTAAGTTTCTATGGGGGGTTTAGTGGTGGTGGAAAAGACTGGGAACCTCCTTGGGTCTTCTCTATATCCATTATGGACTCATGCCTTCTGAGCTGTGTGTGCTTGCCAGGGGTTAGGGGAAGTTGTGCATGCTTTTGTTCAGACGTGGTCATTAAAGGTACCTCTGGAAACCAAGCCTGTTGGGAGTGGTGGTTTTGTTTAATAAAAATGGGAAAACAGAACAAGCAGAGCTGGCTGGCCTTGCCACCCCTGAGGCCCCTCCATTGGCTTAGGAGCTCTGCCAGGGAAGTAGGGGTGGGACAAAGGTGCCTGGCCTGTGTACCCAGGCTTGGGGGAGGTGCTTTTGGATTGTGTTGATGGTCGTTGTAGCAACAGACCAACTGGGTGGGCCTAAGACTGCACTCTAAGGTTGTGAGTCATCAGGGAAACTTGACTTGGAAAAGGGAGAAAAGATAAACCCATTAATGGAGGGGAAAAGTTAGTGGTAGTATATGCTCCCCAGGGCCAGCCTACTGGACATTGTCCAGGGATTCAGGTCAAGTTGTTTCTTCCCATCTCCTGACCCTCCACCAACAAGGCAGCTCCTCTTAGGAAGCCCACAATGAGTAAGGTTATGATTCCCCCAAATCCATGAATAAAGCCCCCTCATAGGGATTCTCCCCGTTATTGCAGTTTGAAGCCTTTCACTGAACAGTACTCCACTGGGAAGATGGGATTGACTAGGGGGAGCCTATAGCTCTCTCCTTGGCACTTGTTTCCAAGTTCAACTGGCAAAGACTTTATCTAGAAAGCCAGAGGCCAAGAAAATCAGCCTGCTTAGGACCTTTAGGGGTTAGGGTGGAGCAGTGGGGAGAAGTGGGGGGGGGGGGGGGGGGGGGGGAGGGGACTATATGGATTTGTTTCCCAGCAGCTGGGACTGTTTCCTGACTATTCCCTGCTGTTGTCCTTAATCCCTCCCAGCACATCCACATTGTTTCAGCTTAGTGAAAGGAGGGGCTCTCCTCCACTGCGGTGGGATGTGGGTGGGTTTTTAGTCCTGGAGATTGTGAAGAAGAGATCAGAGCTGAAAATGTTTTGATCTTGGGGCTACAGGAACATTCTGGGTGGAAATGGGCAAGGTGGATGGAAGCAGATACTTTAGGTCTTAGTCCTAAATATGATGTGTAAGCTCTTCCTAGTGACATACATCCTGATATAAGTCTCCAGTAGCAGGTTAGGAGAAGGTGACTGCAGGAGACCCCAAAGGGTACAACTGAAATCAGAAGGAATGCAGACAGAGATTGGGACCTCCCTGCTCAGAACCAGAAGAGGACCCCTTCAGTGCCTCAGTGAATAAGAGGCAGAGTGATCAGAATGCCCTAGAGATACAGGGATTGGCAGATGCCTGGGATAGCACTAAGCCACCCATGGCAGGTGGAGACTACAAATCCCAGCATGCCCTGTGTCCAGGTCACCTTGCCTGCTGGGAGGTGTAGTAGGATAACAGAACTGGAGGTGGCTTGGTGCCCAGCAGAGCTGGTATCCAGTTGGGAGAAGAGGTGGAGTCAGCATTCCCTCTTTGTCCCTGCTAATGCTATTGACAGGGAGGGAAGGAAGTTGGGAGGAGGTGTTCCTAGTTTCAGTATAAACCAGGAAACTCTGGGGGTGGGGGGAAATGTGGATTGGAGGGAAGAGGAAGGGGGGGGGGGACAAATTTCTGTAGCAGGTGGTGCAAGAGATTCCAAATAGCCTACATATAATGTGTATGTGTTCTCTACAAAAGGGGGTCAGTTCATGTTACCTCATCTTCTCAGGAGATGAGATTTTCTTACAACTTTAGGAAATTATCTCACAAAACCGTTAGGAAAAACTATGTCTTACCAAGCTTGGTGGCATGGTGCACACCAGTAATCACAGCTACTCAGAAGCTTGAGAAGGAAGGATTGCAAATTTGAGGCCAGCCCGGGCAACTTATTGAGACACTGTCTTAAAATAAAAAAGGGCTGGGGATGTAGCTTAGTGGTAGAGTGCCCCTGAGTTCAATACCCGGTATCAAAAAAAAAAAGAAACAACATCTCTCATTTCTTTTTCTTTTTTATTTTTTTTAAATAAGTTTATTTATTTTTATGCGGTGTTGAGGATCAAACCCAGTGCCTCACACGTGCCAGGCAAGCACTAAGCCACAACCCCCAGCCCTAACATCTCTCATTTCTTTGTTTGAAGTACCTGTGGAGAGTCTGGGCTAAATAAGAGCTCCTGTTTACATTCTGGATGGTCCTCTTTCCCTTTCTGTGCTCAGTGTCCTCTCCTTTTTGGTGGTGCTGGTGGTAGTGGTGGTGGTGGTGGGTTGGGGGGGTGATGCCTAAGTGTTGATCCAGAATCAGGATCTTGGAAAATATTCTTAGAATGGAAAAACAGGTAGTGCTAGGTATTCCACGGGGAAGAGAAAAAGCCAAGGGCTGGCTTAGCCCCAGCATCATGAGCAATCTGGAACTACCATCCTACCCCTGATTCTTTGAGCTCAGACCTCTCGGGTAAGCAAGAATAGTTAAAGCAGTCCCTTGCCTGGATCATGGGGCAAGCCTGAAATCCCAGCTACTCAGGACACTGAGGGAGACAGAAAGTTCAAGGCCAGCCTGAGAAACTTAGGGAGACCCTGTGTCAAAATTAAAAAATTACAGGGCTGAGGTTATGGCTCAGCTGTAGAGTGCTTGCCTCGCACTTGCAAGGGGCCTGGGTTCAATCCTCAGCACCACATATAAAAAAATAAAGCTATATATATTTATATTATATATATATATATATATATATATATATATATATATATATAAAACACTTATCAAAAAATAAATGAAAAAATAAAAAATTTTATATATATAAAAATAAAGCTATATATATTTTATATATAAACACTTATCAAAAAATAAATGAAAAAAAAAATTTACAAAGGGCTATGTAGAAGTAGCTCAGTGGTAGAGCACCCCGAGTTCAATCCCACTAATGAAGAAAACAAAAGAAAAAAAGCAAACCCTCCCTCCCATGACAAATCAGGGAAGTCAGAAGAAATGTCAAGGCTAGGGTAAAAACATGTCCTTGGCTTCCAGCCAGCGTCTTCCTCTTTCCTCCATCATGGGAGATGGATGATGACCACTGGTGGAGCTCAACAGTATGAGGGGGTCAAGGGAGGAGGGACGGGAAGGGGCAAGCTCTCCTTCCCCAAGGCTGGTTCTGAAATGGTTCAATTCGAGGAAACTCACTCCCTTAACTTTTATCTTCAAGCTACCCTACTTGGGGGCCGCGTGAGACAGGCTGTGAGCTCATCCTCCATCCCTATCAACCTAAAGAGACTCTCGCAACCCCGCTTGCTGTATGGCCTCATTTGGGCAGTGTGTGACTTAGAGCACTAGAGGGCGCTCTGTCACTTCTTAAGTTAGAGCGCTCGGGCAGGGTGGAGGGCAGCAGAGATATTCAAGGTGTAATTGTAATGCAGGTCGATTTCTGACCAGAAGCTCTGTTCCGTCTTTGTGCAGTCTGTATTATGACAATTCATTCGATGTGCCCAGCTCTGTGCCAGGTACTAGGGATACAAAGGTGACTAAATCAGACCGATTTCACGGCTACATAGGTCTCTCTCCTCTCTCCGATTGCCACCGTCTCACCTCCAGTTAGCCCAAGGTTCCCCCAGTCCTCACCCTGCCTTCTCCCTTGGCCCCACTCTCATCTCCCCTTTCCTCTCCCCCTAGGATGAAGTGAAACTGCCGGCCAAACTGAGTGTCAGCAAGTCGCTGAAAGAGTCCGAAGCGCTGCCAGAGAAGGAGGGCGATGAGCTGGGAGAAGGAGAGCGGCCCGAGGAGGACACGGCAGCAGTTGAGCTGTCCTCGGATGAGGCGGTGGAGGTAGAGGAGGTCATTGAAGAGTCGCGTGCTGAGCGCATCAAGCGCAGCGGCCTGCGTCGTGTGGATGACTTCAAGAAGGCCTTCTCCAAGGAGAAGATGGAGAAGACCAAGGTGCGCACCCGTGAGAACCTGGAGAAGACCCGTCTCAAGACCAAGGAGAACCTGGAGAAGACTCGGCACACGCTGGAGAAGCGCATGAACAAGCTGGGCACGCGCCTGGTCCCAGCCGAGCGACGCGAGAAGCTCAAGACCTCTCGCGACAAGCTGCGCAAGTCCTTCACACCTGACCACGTGGTTTACGCGCGCTCCAAGACCGCGGTGTACAAGGTGCCGCCCTTCACCTTCCACGTCAAGAAGATCCGAGAGGGCGAGGTGGAGGTGCTGAAGGCCACTGAGATGGTGGAGGTGGGCCCGGACGACGAGGAGGTCGGCGCTGAGCGAGGTGAGGCCACCGACCTGCTTCGTGGGAGCAGCCCCGATGTGCACACGCTGCTGGAGATCACCGAGGAGTCGGATGCAGTGCTGGTGGACAAGAGCGACAGCGACTGAGCGGGACGCGAGACCGGCGCCTCGCCCTGCCGCTCCCCACCCCTGATACCACCCCACTCCTTTCCCTTTTCAAACTTTCTCTTTCGCATTCTCTCTCAGCCCTGACCTGGTTGAGATTTTTCTAAGTTGAAAACACCTCCTCTTGAGGAACACCCCTCCAAGTCACAGCTGTTAGACTGGAGGGGGAGGCAGCCCCCACCATGGACACCCCCAATTTGGACGTAGTCTAAATGGAAATGGGAAGAAAAGTGATCTGTGCCCTGTTTGTCCAATTTAGGGGATTCTAGAGGAAATTGCTAATTCCATGGTTGGGCCCCATGGGGGGGGGCTGCCTGCCCCTCCACACAGCACCCACTCCCAGCTGCATCATTCCTGCTCACTAAGCTCTTCCCCTTCCTTCTTATCCTCAACCCCAGAGGCTCCAAAACCACAGTTACCAAGAGGAAAGCTCGAGCCCTAAAGAGGACCTTTGCCCACACGGGAGGTCTCCTCCCAGAAGACCTGAGGGTGTTTGGGGGAGGACCCTCAGGAGTGAGGAAGAAAGGCAGAGTGAGCCTTGACCTTGGATAAGGGTCCAGCACAGGCTGTATCCACAAAGAGCCCCAACAAGGAAGCCTGGAAGCAAGCAGAACCTGGGGCAGGAGGGCTGTGGAGATATGGAGAGCACACAGCCGAGGGGGAGGAGCACGCTTACTTGTCTATGCATCCGCTCGCAGGAGCACATGGCTGTGGCTTTGGGAAGGAGAAGGGAAAACTAGGAGAAGATGGAATGGGTGAAAAGAGAAGTGGCCTCATTAGCGTCATGAGAAAACAGGACACGAATCCCATATTACTGGGGTTTTCAGGATAGCAGGACTATTTTCAGGAGCTGGAAGGGGGACAGTGTGAGAAAAAGGTGATCCAAAGAGGAGAGAGGTATGTTTTGCCTGATCCCTTAACTAGGGTCTGGGTGCTACCCTCAGAGGAAGCCTAGTTCTTTTTTTTTTTTTTTGGAAGCCTAGTTCTTAAAGCAGAGAAGATTCAGGTCCCAGAAGGGGGCAGCAGCAGGCTGTGGAGAGCTGGGAGTTAGGCCGGAAGTCAGGCTGAAAATAGCCAGGTGCTAATGGCCAGGCCTGGAACAGAGAGCCAGAGGTGGAAGCCCGGGAGCACAGTGTAGAGTAGCCAGCCCCAGCCCCTTCCTGAACCTTCTACAGGAGACCCCTCCCTAGAGCTGCAGAACTCTCCCAGACCTTGCTGGGTTCCTTGCCTTTAGGGGTGCCTTTCCTAAAACCTTGGGGACAAGGGAGTGCAGCTTCCAATCTGAGGCCTGATTTCTGTAGTGCATTGCCTAGGTATCAGCAGCTTCAGTTCTTCTATTCCTTTCCAGAAGCAAGGACAACTCCTCCCCATAAGTCGAAGCCCCAAGGAAGGGCAGGAGGCTTCCCTTCTTTTCCCCCAACCTCCACCACCCCCTCCTTATCTTCCCAGCTTTGCTTTTTAGAATTTCAGCTAATTGTTTTAAGGGGTGGGGGGTGGGGAGTCTGGGAACACAAACCTTTTATATAATACAAAGCTTTGCTTCCCCCCCCAACCCCCCACCTTTTCCTTTTCTTGGTTCCCTTCTCTCCTCTGAATGGTTGGAGACACATCAGCTGAGGGAGGATGGGGATTGTGGGACAAGGTCCCTTGGTGCTGATGAAATGAAGGGGTCTGAGTTGTGGGCAGATGCAGTTTCTCATGGGCTCTGGGGAGCCCCTCATGTTGCTGTGTCCTGGTGAGCAGCCCGACCAATAAACCTGCTTTTCTAAAATGATTTGTGCTAGGTTGTGTTCTCCAAGGCAGTTGCTTGGGATGAACTAAAGAGAACAGAAGGGAGCCAAACAGGGAAGGCTGGAGAGAGAAATGGAGGAAGAGCTGGGTTTTTTTTTTTTCAGTTTTCGGTGGACACAACATCTTTATTTTTATGTGGTGCTAGGGATCGAACCCAGCGCCCGGCTCATGCCAGGCGAGTGCATTACAGTTTGAGCCACATCCCCAGCCCAGAAGGACTGTTGATACAAACTTGCCTAGATTGTGTTGGGGGAAGGCACAGAATAACAATAGCCAGTATATTGAGTTGTTGTTATTATTATTATTATTTGGTACTGGGGTTTGAACACCCGCACTTTACCACTGAGTCACATCTTGAGCCCTTTTTAGTTTTTATTTTGAGACAAAGTCTCACTAAGTTGCTTAGGGCCTTGCAAAGTTGAGGCTGGCCTCAAACTGGCAATCCTCTTGCCTTGGCCTCCTTAGTCTCTGGAATTGCAGTCATGAGCCACCATACCCAGCTGTTTGGGGCCTTTAGACTCTGCCAAGACTGGTTCTAAGCACTTTGGCATGGACTTGCTTATTTAATCAGACTATACTCCTATGAGGTAGAGTCTATCATTGTTATCTCCATTTGGAAAAAGAGGAAAGAGTGACTTGTCTAAGGTCACAGAGCTGGCAAGTGGCAGAGCTGGGATTCAAAGACAAGCAGCTTGGCTCCACAGTCTGTTTGAGGGTTACAGTATATAACCCAAAATTTTTTGGAGTCATTCCCAGTCATCAGGGTGTTCAACCTCAGACATGCCCCCTCTTCCCAGTCTGAGCTTCTCACAAAAACTGCCCTAGAATCCAGTCTGGAGGAGGCATCCTGAGGAGGGGGACATTGGAAGATCTGCCTCAAGGGGCTTGATATCAGAGGAAAGGACATCAGTGGATCCACACAGCATATTTCATTCTCCCCACACCCCTGGGGTGGGCACCTTTTCCTGTATGGCAGCCTCTCTTCCCTGTGAGCAGGTTGCCTACAGGTAATGAATTTCCTAGAGCAGTGGACTCCAATCATCATGTGGTTGGGTGTGCATCAGAATCACCTGAGGAAGGGCATCCCTGATAAAAAATAATGTCATCTCCTAGACTGTACCCCAGCCTCCTGCCATTACCTCAAACAGGACGAATATTCCTCATGACCATACACCTCCAGGAGAGTACAGAGTTTTGACTTCTCACCAAAGGAAATGGACACTGATGCCGAAAATTCAGAGCCTGGGAGTCAGTAAACTTCCTGCTGCCAGGAGAGACACACTAAGGATCCTTATACTGGAACCTAGACAAGCAGCTGTGAAAAGCAGGGAATGATGGGAGGACTCCAGGGGCACAGTAATGCTTTCCCCTGGGCCCAAGCCATCACCTGGATTCTCCCCACAGGCTTCTTCCATGAGCTACTCCCCACACCCAGTCTATTTGCCACTGATTCAATATCCATGAGTCACTTTGTTCTACTGTCTTTGTTACCAATTTCAGAGACAAAGTGGGTGCTTTCTCCCTCCCAGAATCATGGGACCAATAACAAAATTGAGCAGTGATCATGTAGCGAAGGAAAATTTATTCTTGAATAGAGAATAAGAAAAAAATGAAAGAAATAACTCTCAGATTGGCTTCCACCTGAACAAAAGATGAGGGTCCCTATGAGCCCGACATGGTGGTGCACACCTGTAATCCCAGCAACTTGGAAGGCTGAGGCAGGAAGATTGCAAGTTAAAGTCTAGCCTGGGCAATTTAGCAAGGTCCTGTCTCAAAATAGAAAGGACTGAGAATTAGTTTACTGGTAAGGCACTCCTGAGTTCAGTCCTCAGCACCCAAAGCTAAACAAACGAAATGGTTAGCAAAAAAAGATTGCATCTCAGGATTAAGGTATTTTTACCTGGTGATGTCCTCACCCAGTTCTATTATGGCTACCACTTTGTTAAGAATGGTCCTTATTCCTTGAACAGCCATTTTCCTGGGGACCCTGACACCCCGTGGCCTGCCTTCTTTATTTCCCAGTGCTGGTTGCTGCTCCAGAACCCCTAGACGAAATTCTAGTGTCTGAGGCAGGGATCCTAGTGGCAGGCACTGGGGAAACAGTCAACTGGCTGCCAGTAGGAGTTGATAGATATTCCAAGGCCCACACCCACACAGGGTCTTCCACCGACCAATCCACCCTTCATTAGCATTATTTCCAGGGTTACAATCAGACAATAAAGTAGACGTATTGTCTCCCAAATGATCCTGGGACCTGTGGAAGTCCCTCTATACCTGGGACCTATGGAAGTTCCTTTACAGCTTCAAGTCAAGTTATCAGGTCTCTAAGATCTTCTAAGTCCAAGGTAACTCTCCTTTTTTTTTTTTTTTTAAATATTTAATTATTTATTTATTTGGCGGACACAACATCTTTGTTTGTATGTGGTGCTGAGGATTGAACTTGGGCCACACGCATGCCAGGCTAGCATGCTACCGCTTGAGCCATATCCCCAGCCCCAAGGTAACTCTCCTTGGTCCAGGAAAAGACAACAGCAGCCCTCTTGGACTAGTTGAGTTTCTCATCTGCTCTCACCTGAAGCATGTCAACTGACTTTAGATTCCCTTTCCAATGTATTCCCCACCTTACTGCCAGAGATATGCACCAACAGTCCCCCACATACAGTGGTTTGAATTTATGACTGTTCAAATTTAAGATAGTAAAACAATATGCCCTCAATAGAACCTGTACTTTGAATTTTAATCTTTTCACAGGTTACCTGTATGTAATCTAATACTCTCAAGCAAAGGAAAACAACTGATACTATACAGTGTACTTACACAGTGTATTGTATTCAGTAAATTACATAAGATATTGAGCATTATTATAAAACAGGCATTGTATTGTGCTAGATGATTTCATTCCACTGCAGGCTAACGCAAATGTTCTAAACACATTTAAGGCAGGCTATTCAGTGGGCTGGGTATATGAAATGTATTTTTGACTTATTTTCAATTTGTGATGGGTTTATCTGGATGTAACCCCATTATAAGTCAAGAAACATCTTAATTTTCTTCCCTTTTTTTTTTTTTTTTTTTTTTGGTGTTGGGGACTGAACCCAGGGCTGTATGCATGCCAGGCAAGCACTCTACCAACTGAGCTATATCCTCAGCCCCTGAATTTTCTTTTTTTAAGAAAACATGAATTGTGGTTTAAATACTTCCATTGACCAAAGAATTAAACTCCATGGCATGGCTCACAAGGTCCTCTAAGAATCTGGTCCTTACCCCAGGTATTTCTGTTCTTCAACATGTTTTTTTTTTTTTTTCTTTTTTGGTATTAGTAACTGAACCGTGGGGCACTTACGCTCTGAGCCACATCCCCAGCCCTTTTTGTTTTATTCTGAGACAGGGTCTCAATAAGTTGCTTAGGGGCTTGCTAAACTGCTGAAGCTGGCCTTGAATTTGCAATCCTCCTGCCTCAGCCTCCCAAATCAGTGGGATTACAGGCCTATAGGCTTTTGCTCAGGTTGTTCCCCCTCTCTGGAATGGCCTCCCCATTTCTACTTCTCAGTTTATTTTATTTTTTTATTTTTCGCCATGCTGGGGATCAAGCCCAAGACCTCACACATGCTAGGCAAGTGTTTTACCACTGAGCTCCACCTCGGGGTCACATATCTCTTAAATCACTTCCTCCCCAGGCCCCAACCCTAGTCATGCTACTCATTCCCTTCTCAGTCTTCAGTGGGACTTTAGGTCAATAAATACTTGTTGAATAATTGAATAAATTACAGGATTTTTTTTTTCCATGGCAAGTGTTATAAAGTCACCTCAAACTGGTTTCAGCAAAAACAAAACAAAACACCCAAGTTGAAAACAAACACAGAGGGAATTTATATAATTGAAAAAGTCCCATGGCAGGAGTTATAGCACAATGAGGCCCTGGGTTTGATCCTCAGAACCACAAAAAAATAATAATAATAAAATAAAATTGGCAAATTTTATTTGAAAAAAAATTCCCCAGAAATAAGTTCTAGGATCATTAGGAATCTCTCTCCTACCTTCTCTCTGTGTTTGTTACAACACAGTAATCTATATTAATAATCATATTCTTCCCACATGGTGGCAAAGATAACCATGAATAGGTACAGACTTATGGCCTGACAGCTGAGCAGCCTCAGTAAACAGGAATTCTTCCCAAATCCTTCCAGCCAGACTCTCAGATATGATGGCCATTGACTCCAATAGGTCACATATCCAAATCACTGTGCCTCTGACAAAACAGAGGTCATGTGATCACTTAAAGAACTCACCTGAAACAATTAAGAATGAAGGGCTGGGGTTGTGGCACAGTGGTAGAGTGCCCACCTAGCCCGAGTGAGGCCCTGGGTTTGATCCTCAGCACCACATAAAATAAAATAAGGTATTGTGTCGAACTACAACTAAAAAATAAGTATTGAAAAAAAAAAATGAAGAGGGCTGGGGATGTAGCTCAGTTGGTAGAGTGCTTGTCTCTCATGCACAAGCCCTGGGTTCAATCCCCAGCACCACAAAAATAAATAAATAAGTAAATAAAATAAAGGTATGCTGTCCATCTGTAACTACAAAAAAAAAATTTTTTTTTTTTTAAATGAAGAAAGGAAAAGGGCTGGAGTTGTGGCTCAGTGGTAGAGTGCTTGCCTGACATGCGTGAAACACTGGATTTGATCCTCAGCACCACATGAAAATAAATTAGATAAAGGTATTGTGTCCATCTACTATATATATATGAATGAAGAAAAAGCTGGGCAATTTTTCACCGCTTCTATTTAACACAGTCCTGGAAACTCTAGCCAGAGCAATTAGACAAACAAAAGAAATCAAAGGGATATGAATAGAAAAAGAAGAACTCAAACTATCACTATTTGCTGACAACATGATTCTATATCTAGAGGATCCAAAAAATTCCACCAGAAAACTTCTAGAACTAATAAATGAATTCAGCGAAGTAATAGGATATAAAAATCA